ACGAATACACTATAATGTCACAGGGAAAACAAACAACTTCAGCAAACAAAACAGATCAGCTCAAACACTAAGAAAATGCAGATTCAGAAAACCTTCCTGAGGAAGAAATAGTATTACCGCTGCATATCCTCAGTGGGCTGAGAGGATCAAGGAAAGCACAGACCAAATCAAATATCAAGAAAACTTAAGAAAATACTGTAAGAGTAAACTGACAAAATAAATGGAAAATTAGAAAACATACAAAACAGCATATAGAAATCCAGAAGATTAATATTAAGATTTCAGAAATAGACAATGTATTATACGTACAGAGGAGTAGAATTGAATCAATGAAAGATAGATGTGAGGTTGAGGTCAAATCTCTTAATGTTAATCTGTTAGAAAAACAATAAGAAAATAATAATAATAATAATGACGATATATATACAAATAAGACTAACAATTATGGGAGACATCATCAAGAGAGGAAACTTACATAATTGAAAAATCCAGGGCAGGAAATTGTTGGATTTTTGGAAAGAAAACTCAGATATGTTGAGAGGCATTCAAGAAACTTAATGAAGACTAAGTAGGGTAGACCCCCCCAAAAGAATATCAAGAAGACATCATAATCATACTTTCCAAACCCAAAGACAAAAAATAAATATCCTAAAAATGGCTCAAGAAAAAAGGAAATTATCTACAAAGGTTAACCACAAAAAACTTACATTGTGATTTCTCAGCAGAAATCATGCAGACAAGAAAGAAATTGGATGAAATATATACAACCCTGGGGGGGGCGGGTGGAACAAAAATATATACCTAGCAAAATTGTCTTCAAGTGCAATGGCAAAAATTGGGGAATTCCCAGATTAATAAAAATTAAGGGAATTAGTGCAAAACAGACCAATCTTACAAACACTTTAAAGGAAGTTCTTCAGAGAATCCACAATAGTAGACAACAACCTAGATTGACATACACGAAAGATTCACCAGAAACAAATACAGATATGTAAGTTTTGAAAGTAAAATAAACTTAGAAAACTGAAAATAGGGAACCAGAGACATCAATTTATAAATACGGACAAATACTAAGCAAGAGGGAGGACAGAGAAGTTACAGAACTTCTGAATGAAGAGGGAGGCAAGATTACTTCAAGATAGGACGGATTGTTGTAAACTTAAGAAGAAAAATACCGCATTACAGGTACCTGTAAAAAATTAGCAAATAGTCTCAGCAAAAAAAGAAAAATTATGAAGTTTAGTAAACACAAAAACAACAGGAAGGAAATGATAAAATTATCCATTTAGAAAATGAACTCAGCACAGAAATTATTGAGCAAGAGGAAAAAAATAACAAACAAATGGAAGGAACCAACAGGATGAACTGAAACAACAAGGATAACAAAAGAACACTGTGGCCAACTACCCCACCAATGTGAATACCTTGAAGAACTGGAACATCGTCTAGAAACACACAGCCTACCTCAACAAAAAGAGATTGAGGTAGAACATTTGAACAAAGCCAAAACAAAAGAAATTAAACAGGTCATTAAAAAAATTCCCAATTACAACAACAAAAGGTCTGGCCCCGACAGCTTCACTGGTGAATTTTACCTTTAGAGAAAATCTGACACCTATTCTACTTAAACTGTTCCACAATACAGAAAAAGAGTGAATATTCCCATATTCCTTTTATAAAGTGAGCATAACCGTGATATCAAAGTCATGCAATGTTATCACTAAAAAAGGAAAATATAAACTGATATCCCTCATGATCAAGAATGCCAAAATTCTAGTCATTAAATCTAATAACATATCACAAAAATAACATAATGAGCAAATGCCATTCAAACAAGGCATGCATAGGTGGTTCAACATTAGAAAAACTAAGTTTAATCTTCCCTTTATAAACAAAAGGAAGGAAAATAATCATATGATCATAACAATCAATTCAGCAAAGTGATATGATCCATTGGTTAAAAACACTCAACACAATAGGAATAGAAGGTAAATTCCTCACCATCATTAAGGGCATACAGTATATCCAAAACCACTGGCCAACATTAGTCATAATAGACAAAGACTGAACGCATTCCCATGCCAGTAAGAAGCACACAAGGATGCTTTTTATCACCCCTCCTACTCACTATGGAAGGAAAGATAGTCCAGAAAAGGAAACAGACCCCAGAGAATCAAATCACTACACAAGGAGGCTTCACACTAATAATCTCAGTCTACTATAAAGCCAGCTTAGTCAAAGCAGCCTTGTGTAGACATAGCAGCCAATAGAACAGAATTGAGAACCCAGAAGTAAATCCACCCACCTACGGACAGCTAACCCTCAACCAGTGACCCAAATCCACTTAGTGGACAAGAGGCAATCTCATCAACAAGTGATGTTGCCCAAACTGGATATCCATTAACAGAAAAATTAAGCAGAATACATATCTCACACTACACAAAAATGAACTCAAGATGAAGCAGAGACCTAAAGGCAAAACCTAAAATCACCACTGTAGGGATTCTGATACATAACAAAAATACACTATAAGACATCACTAAGAACACAGAAAGAGCAGAAGATAAACTGTATGACTAGGATCTACTAAAAATTTACATGTTTCAAAAGAGTTCACCAAAAAGAGTAAAAAGAGAACCCATAGACCAGGAAACTAAATCTGGCGATGACATACAAATGTCGTACAAGGGACTAATCTCTAAATGTAGAGATAACTTCAAGATCTTCACAAAAAGACAAACAACACAATTAAAAATGAGCAGATGTCGTGCACAGACACATCGTCTAAGAACACCTCAACATATCCAACAAACACATGGCATCATCTCACCCCACCACGATCACAAAGTTCTGAACATTAAAACAACAAATTCAGACAAAGATGTGGAAAGATTGGAGCCCTCATATACCACTGGGAGGAGGGGGGTGGGGGGTGAGGTGGGGGGAGGGGCTGTAAATCGGTACGCCTACTGTGCAAAACAGTGTAGCACATCCTTAAGAAAACCAAACCAAACTCTACGTCATGGGTTCAATGTCGCCTCAGCACAACTCTGCTAGGATGGGGTAGAGCTGCGTCTCTGTCAGTTTTTGAGGCTGCAGCTCTTGATGAGAGTAGAAATCACCCTCGGTTTCAAACTGCTGACCTTGCGCATCGCAGCCCAACGCCTAATTACTCAGCCACCAGGGCTCCAGCACATCCTTCAAGACTCGGAAATAGAAACCCCGTACGATTCACCAAATCCTACTACATGGATAATAGCTTACAGAAATAGGAGCTGTGACAGAACAGATACATGCATACCATGCTCATCACAACACTATTCATAATAGCAAAATTACAAAATGCCCATCAATGGTTGAAGAGATGAACAAACTAAGGTACATACACACAATGGACTATAGCACAGCCTTAAAGAATAAAAACAAATCATTGAAATGTCCTATAGTATGGATGAACATGGAAGACACTATGCTAAATGAAATGTGCTAACCGCAAAAGGAGAAATTTTGTATCAGATCACTATTGAAAAATGCCAAGAAAAGGTTTACACACGCAAAAAATCCTTTCTTTGATGATATCTGGGGCAGGTGGGGAGGAAAGGATCAATTACTAACTAGAGAGTAGACAAATTAACTTGGGTGAATGTGATATCAATATGCAATAAGGTAGAGGTCACCAAAATAAGCAAAAAATATCAAAGCAAAGGAAGACATTGGGAGGAGTATAAGGCTTAAGGCAAGAGAGATAAATACAATTATAGACACAATCCACAATCACAGAAATGACAATAATCTAAGAGTGGACACAGATAGACTTGAAAACTGAGCTGGCATGGGGAGGAGAATGGGGCTGTACCTGTGAACATCTATAGGTAAGCCAGACTATTTCTACATACATATGCACCTTTGTTGCAAATATAGCCATGAACATGATCAAGCATACAGAGGGTAAAGTTATGAAAATATCTTAGGTAATACCAAACACCTTGAGGGAATGAGTTGCTGGATCTGGAGGCTGACATCAAAGTCAATTAGTATAAAATAAAATAAAAAACCCACACAAAACTAACAACCTTCACTGTCATTGAGCCAATTCCATCTCACAGAGACCAACTAGAGCAGAGCAGACCTACACCTGTGGGTTTCTAGTGGTTTAACTTTTTTTAAAAATCATTTTATTAGGGGCTCATACAACTCGTTCACAATCCATACACACATCAATTGTGTAAAGCGCATTTGTACATTCATTGCCCTCATCATTCTCAAAACATTTCCTCTCCACTTAAACCCCCGGCATTAGGTCCTCATTTTCCCCTCCCTCCACGCTCCCCCTCCCTCATGAGCCCTTGATAATTTATAAATTGTTATTTTGTCATATCTTGCCCTGTCCAACGTGTCCCTTCACCCACTTTTCAGTTGTCCGTCCCCCAGGGAGGAGGTCACATATAATTCCTTGTAATCGGTTCCCTCTTTCCTATCCACTATTTGTTGCCCTCATTATTCTCAAAACATTTGCTCTCCACTTAAGGAGATCTGCTCTTGAGAATGTCTTTAAGAATTGTAGGCCAGGTAGAACAGGTGGAATGGTTCGTCTTTAGCCTCAAGTTCGTGTAAGAAAAGTCTGGAAGCCTTTGCAATGATTTAAAAGCTATGAGTGCAGCAAATGAAGGTTATTCTGTGGAAGAATTTATTGGTTGTAGGGAGGGGTTAGTCCAATTATTTCAAAAAATGAGAGCAAATTTACAGAGCATTAAAGGGCAAGTATGAATTGTCTGTATGTCACCTGTCTGTAACCTGGAATCTGCCTGTGAAACAACTTCTACATTAATTGTTGAGTTCCTTTTATTTCAAACATTACAAAATAACGATTAGCAGTTGTAGTTATACCCCAAAGCTACGGGATTTTCCTGGACAAATTCATTTCACATTTCCTAGAAAGCATACTTTGAACCATTTTAGCTAAAGGTAAACATCAGATGGAAGCAAAGAAATCAACTCACTTGTCAGACTCATCAAAGAGTTCACAGCTCTCCAGGTGTGAAAGAGCAGTTTGAAATGTATCCTCTGGAAAACAAATGGATCGTTATTAGGAGTAAAATGACGGTCATGCTTCTCAAGCGCATCTCAAGCCCTCTTGTCCCTCCTCCCTCAGCCCCTTGTCAACTGCTGTGGCCACCTCTGATTTACTCTGTTGGTCAAAATGCTTCAACTAAAAAGGATCATTAACAAGGATCATTAAGCCCAATACAAGAGGATTCTGAAGCTGACATGTTAGTACAGAAACCAACATCACATAAGTTTTAACTACTTAAACTATCAATGCTTGGGTAAAATATTTAAAATGAAATCAAATGAATTGAATAAACAAATTCTAACTCAGATTTTTTGCAGGCCTGTCATTCCTTGTGCTTTTAAATCCCCTCCAGATGCCACCTCCACGGCTACCAAGTGGATTCCAACTGAGAAGGGTCCTAGAGGGCGGAGCAGGGTTGCTCTTTGGGGTTTCAGAGACAGTACATCTTTGGAAGCAGAAAACTCTTTTTATCTCCTGGGGAGTGGATGCTGGATTCAAACTGCTGACCTTGTAGTTAGTAGGTCAATGCATAACACACTCTCCCACCAGAACTCTTTCTTGTGATTTTAAAGTCTCTCAAAAAACTCTAGGCATGAAGAATGCATTGGAGAGTGGTTTATTGTAGACATGGGTTAAAATTTAACACCTTATCATTTGATCTCCTTTTGACCCAGTTTAAATTTGTTCTAGTTTTTCATAATTTATGATTTCTTTTTGAGTCGGGTTTTCATCTGTTTGACTTTGTAATTGTTGTAGTGCTTTTTGTTTTGTTTTTATCTGTTTTTTTTTAATATGAGATCTAGGATAGGTAAATCTGTAGAGACAATAACTAGATTAGTGGTTCTTGGGGGTATGGCAAGGGAGATGGGGGCAAAGTAGCGAGCTAACACAATGACCGCAAGAAAGAAGAAAATGTTCTAAAATTGATTGTGTCGATGATTGTACAACACTTTTTGACGTGATCAAACTATTGAATTGTATATGTAAATTATATGCCAATTAAACTGTGAAAAGAAAAATCTAGCCATAAAAGCTGTGTAAGGCCAATCTGTTATCAACTAGCCGAGGGAAATGTGTTTTATTAACTGGTCAATGGGGTAATTCTCTCTATACTGAGCAAATATAAAATATCCATTGTTTGAATTAATCAAATATAAAATATCCATTGTTTGAATTAAGATTGATCAAGGACGTAGAACTTGTTAATGAAATAAAGTTAACAGGTCTAAAGGTAAAACAGGAAGATAGAGAAGAAATTAGCACTCAGAGTTATCCTGTTAATTCTACATTATAAAGGAGGTGAGGCATGAGACTGCACAGAAACCAGATAGTGGTGGAACAAAGAGCCCTTTCTCAACCACATACACCCCAAAAATCTACTTAATTTTCCTTTTCTTTTTACTACCCCCAAATGAATCTAGATTTACTCTTCTGCACGTGCCTGCGCAAGCATGAATGTAGACATAACAAAGCAGACACCCATTCAATATCTCCCACATGTGCAGTTGAATGGCATCATTTACCTTCTTCATGCGGGGCTCCTGTTCTCCCGACCTCTGCCCATATTGTTTCTTCCTTTTTATCAGTTTTATTGGCATATAATCCACATATATAATTAAATAGCTCAACCACACCAAGAAGAGTTGTACAATCAATCATCAACACAATCAATTTTAGACCTTTTTCTTCTTCCTTGCATTCATTGTTATTAGCTCCCCCATCACCCCTAGTCTCCCCAGCCATACCCTCAAGGAACCATTAATCCAGTGACTGTCTCTATATATTTACCTATCTTGGATTTTATATACGGGGGGGAAAAAAAACTATCAATAACAAAGTGAAACAGAGAAAAGCCTCAATTGTAAAGCAGAAAATATGAAAAACTAGAACAAATGTAAAGTGGGTCAAAAGGGAGCTCAAATGATAAAGTGTTAAATTTTAACCCAACTGCGCCTGCAATAATTTTCCAGTGCATTCTGCATGAAAGAAGGCTATTCACATCCCTGGTCCATGCTCAAAAGGACTCACCAGAGGCTTAATCTATGTGTACATCTACCCATATGGTTTCCACACCATTTAGGTAGACACTCTGTCCCCTAACCTTATCTTGGGTTTCAGGTAGCTAATTATTTACAAGAGCACACTGCTCAAGATGCACATTCTCTACTAATGGGAGAACCTGTTTAGTTTAAAGATGTTCACAGCTTAAGGGTTATGTCAAAGCAATAGGTTCAGGGGCTCCCCCATCCCAGTGGGTGCAGTAAGTGTGGACTCTCTAAAAATTTAAAATTCTGTTCCACATTTTTCTGATCCAGCTACTGGGTCCTGGATCAAAATGCACAGTAATGCCAGCCGGACACCGCCCCACTCTTCTGTTCTCATGGCAAAGGAGGTAATATCCAGGGAGAGAATTAAGTCTGCAATCCACTTCCTTCTCCATGTCCCTGGTTGAAAATTTACTTTAAAAAGAAACAAAAAACTAATTCCACTCATCCCATCCACAAACCATATTCGTCAGGAATCATGATGAAGCAGAGAAATGAAAAGGCCTTAAGGATTACATAATCAAGTGCTTCTTCTCAAACACCACTCAGTTTAATAGGACAAAAGTGTACTACTACTGACCTGATGATTTCATCCCATAGGGTAAATCATACTTATTGCTGCCATACACAGAAGCAAGAGCTTTAAAATCCGATGTACACAAAAAAGGATGAAGCTGAGGGTACCTGGAGAGAAAGAATTAAGGATTATTTGCCAAATGTCTATAATATTTTCAGACTTTTGAAACCACAACTGAAAATAACTGTAGCATACAATCCATATTGTAATCATCACCATATATAAATGTATATATAGTTTTAATTCTTTAAAAGTTGTTCTAAACTTTTATTAAATATGCAATATTGAGTGGAACTATACAGCCATGATGGAAACACATGTACTAGATTCAAAATTACATTGCAGCTTAGGGGGAAGCTTCAAAACTTAAATTCCAACTTCAAAACACCAAATGGTAAAATGAGAGCCATAGACAGAAGAAGAAAGACAGGAAATGAAGTAAAAAAAGAAAAAGAAAATTTAATGCCAAACCACTCCTAAATTTAAAAGCGCCACATGTATGACTGTCACCTGCTGTAGAAGCAAAAAGGCACACTCTAGCTTGGATGGAGGTGGAAAGAAATTGTTTCCTTGATGGCATGTAAATTAAGCTAGAGATACTGAAGACACTTAATGAATCCATTCAGTTAAGAGAGGGGAACCTGAATCTAATGCCCAGAAATAATATTTTTAAACCATGAGCTAAAAGTATCCCAAGAAACTATCATTAAACAAAACAAAAAACCTCATTGCCATCAAGTTGACCCTGACGCTTAGCAGCCCCATACAATTTAGCCCAATTAATAAAGGTTTGCCTCGAGCATGGCCCTCCAACAAAGAGTGATCTGTGCGCATAAATTGATGGCCAAACTCACCAGCATTGAGGCGGTTCACTTCAGAGCAACCCTCGCAGGATGGCTGAGACTGCAAATCTTCACCACATAGGAGGCAACCTTATCATCCCCCCCCACAGCAGCTGGTAGATTTCAAGTTTGGGTTAGTAATCCAACGCTTCCGCCACAGTGCCACCCACCAGGGCTCCTTAAGTGGACCCCAGTTCATCGAAAGACAACAACATGGGTAGAGCGACTGGTGACACATTGCGAGGCTTGAAACCTACCGCTTCTGTGGAAACTGTGACAGGCTATATGCTTGGCTGTGAGGACCTCACTGCACCCAGGGACCTGGACAGGCTAGAGTAGAACTGCCACAAAACTTTCTAAGGATAACCTTTTCCAAAGCGGACTGTTGAATCTTTCCAACACAGGACAGCTGGTGGGTTCAAACTAGCAACCTTCCAGTGAAGTGAGTAAGCATTTAATCACCGTACCCCCAGAGATCCTATACCTATCTACAGGCATTTCTCTTTTTCACTGCCTGATTTATCCTGCAGGCATGCCAACCCTGGGCCTAGACCATTCAGCAGGCTTGTTAATGGCAGGAACAGCCTATTTTTCTCACTTTGAGCATGCTGCCCAGAGTTGGCACAGCACCCATGGGAGACGGATGACCGATGTATTTTAACTCCTATGAAGGGGGTGAGGCAGGGGAGAGAAGGCAGGTATGTGTGTGTTTAATTAAGAAATGTGCCTCAAAGCTCATATTAAAATGCTATCTACCTGGCCCCCAAGCTGGTGCTGTGCCCTTTGTTGTGAGGTGCCATCGATTCAGTGCCCACTTATAGTGACCTCGTGCACAACAGAGCAAAGCACTGCCTAGCCCTATGCCATCCTCAGAATGGTCCAATCTATTGGTGGAGCCCCTGGGTCAATACAGCCCTTCAGGGGGGTCTTTCTCATTTTCGCTGCCCTTCTACTTTTTACCAAGTACAATATTCCTTGTCAAGGACTCCTCGTTCCCGATATGTTCAAAGTGTGTGAGATCAAGTCTCACCCTCTTTGCTTCTCATTGAGCTAATCCTAACTACAGCCCTACATGGGCAGGGTTCATCCTTTCTGCTTCCCAATGAAAGCCATCTCAGCTTTGGGCTTCCTTAGTCTAAAAGCCGCAGAGACCAGAGCAGCCTTGGGAATTTCTGAGGCTGCATGGCAAAATGGGAATAAAGAATTGAAGGATAGATTTGAAATGGCCGTGATGTTGGCTTGGGTTGGCCACCCAGGAGCTGCCTGCGCTTGGACACATCATAGTTGCTTTATTTCAATGGAGCTGAGTTGAGAACTCACACTTCTTAAAGGACTTGACAGTTCAACCCTGCCAGTCGGAGACCCAGTAAATGTCCCAGTTCCACCTGTGATAGAGACAGCAGCCTCAGAGGGCCACGCAACCTCCAAAGGTCATTTGTAGACCATCGTTGCTTTCTAAAGTTAATGAGAAGAGCATGTACCAGGTCAGCTGACTTAAGCTTGCAAGAACACGGGTGGTTTCCTGCCATTTTCTGGAAAAGTTGGAACCCGGGAGGGCTTTGTACCCTGAAGGGAAGATCATAAAGGACTCTATTGTTTGAAGTTAGTTGGGGTAAAAAGGAGGGTGATCCATGCCATTATTAATACCTATTGCTAGCCAGACTTTATGCTGGGTGACTTGCATTTTAGCTCTAAGTGAATTGATTGTTTAAAGTTTTCTACTGTGCCTCCAAAACATAGTAGGCACTCCACACTTACCAGTTGTTATTTGTAATAATTGTATTACTTTAGGCCACGTTACATTTCTGCGTGTTGCGACTCCCAGACAGGCTTGGATAAATAAGTTAGGTGTGTAAATCAATTTCAGGCGTTCCTGTGGGTTTTGTGTTGGGCTGCTAACTACAAGATCAGTTGTTTAAACTCACAAGCTGCTCCTCGGACAAAAGATGAGGCTTTCTCATCTCTTAAAGATTGACAACCTGGGAGATCCACAGGGCCATTGTAGTCTGTCCTGCAGAGTTGCTATGAGTTGGAATCTACTTGATACCAGTATTATTCAGCTTAGATGAAGAAAGGAGTCCTCATGGCATTGTTGTTATGAGTTGGTCTGCTACCACAAGGTCAGCAGTTGGAATCCACCAGTCAGCTCTGGGAGAGAAAGACGAGGCTTTCCAGTCTCAGCAAGAGCTGCAGCCTCAGAAACTCACAGGAGCAGGTCTACCCTGCCCTACAGGGTCACTATGCTTCAGAATTGACTTGATGGCAGTGAGTCTGGTTTTGACTTTCAGGGGTAGAAACTCAAAAACCTCAGAAAGCCGTATGGAAGGCAGTAACTGGTCTCGGGTCACTAATCCATAAGTGGCAACACTGAAATTCACACTGATGTCGAATTCTCTTTACACTACATATCACACCTTCAGTTTCCCAATGCGATCTTTTCCTGACCACCACTGACTGCCCTGTGTTTCTAAACAAGCGACTTCCATCTGCTCTAGGGGCTGGCAGAACAGGGAAGTAGCGGCTTGTTGTAAAAATACCCCTCTCCAGACAAACAGGAAGTTACTTGACATTTAAAAACACACAACTGTAGACACACTTGCTGTGTGATCCTGTGGAAATAAGTTAAACCTCTGGGGTTTTTCTCACAAGAGCAATACTGTTTCTCTTGCTAATGTGGAATAGGACTTTAACTCAACTTTCAGAATGTCATTTTATACTGACAGTCTGCAGCTCGTGGGGCTTTATAAAACCTTTCAGAAGTTAGGGTCAGCATGCTTTTGAAAAAGGAATGGAAATAACGAGGGCATTTTGTTTTACAATAAATGTGCATGTGTACGAGGTCTCAATGTCAGATTGCTCTAATAGGAGACAAGTAAAGCATGTATTGCTACTGAGTTATAGAAGCCTTTATTACAGAGAAATATCAAAATATGAAGTGTTTTCATCTTCCTAAGCCTTCCTCAAAGAATGTTTCACTCTTCAATTGATACCATGTCCAATGGATTAAAGTTGTGCTCCTTCTAACATTGAGCTTGGGGAACAAATAGAAATCGAAAGGGGCAAGATCAGAGTTATAGTGTGGACGGGGCAGGGTTTCCCAAGGAAATGCTCTCAGGGCAGCCTTGCAACCCTCAAAGGAGAAGCAGGGGTACTGGGGTGGTGGAAAAAAAATTCCTCAATGCAAATTTCTCGCAATTTTTTCTCACTGTGTTTTTCTATTTTCTTGAAGTGTTTTCAATTTTCTCAAAACTTTCCTCCCAGTTAAGTCCCTAGGATTGTCTTGTGCCCTTCAAGAAAATCTGTCAAAATTTCCCTTGAGTATTCCCCCAAATTATCTCCATGACTGACCTCCTGGCCTTGAAGTGAAGTGACCTGGCAGATCCCTTCAGAAGCCACTGTGTTGATTAGCCCTTGCTCTCTGGATCTGATTGGTATGTGCAAGACTCTTCTCCAGGTGGTGACTTGTTCTAGAAAATCATTTTCATTACCTTTGATTGATGGAAGGATTGATGGAGCATCAGCTCTTTGAGCTAGCTGATTTTCGTGCAATACGTTCAGCAATCAGAGAGCTGAAAGCAGGCCAAGGCCAAGATGGTCGCTGACAACTGGAAATACCAAACTATGCAAGATCCCACCATCAGTGGTATTGCCTCCATGGTCATTCTACCACCTTCTCCCACCATTTCTTGGACTCCAGTCACAGTGTCTTCATTCACCGAGGTGGATACTTTTCCCTTCCTTGGCTTTGAGGTCTATCTGAAAACTGCAGTTGGATGTGGGCCAGCCTTCTTACAACTTATGGAAAGCTTCAATGAGCGGAAAGATATCCCTTTGAAGTGTGTCAACATTTTTTTTATTAGCCCTAACTTCAAAATCATTCTTTTCCATGGCACAAAAAGTATGCATTTTTGAAAGTACTAGCTCAAAGGGTAGAATGCTCACTTGGCATGCACGGAGTAGCAAGGTTCCTGCTTGTGTCTTCCAGATTTGGAGCCCTGGCGGTGGTGTCTAGTCAGTGTTGGACTGCTAATTGCAAGGTCAGTGGCTCAAACCTACCAGCTGCTTCCTGGAAGAAAGAGGAGGCTTCCTGCTCCCACAAATATTTATAGCTTTGGAATCCCTATGAGTCAAAGCCAATTCAATGGCAGCATTGTGGGCTGGCTTAGGAGGCTGAACAACTGTATGCAAGACCTTGGCTTTGCAATGATCACAGAGACATGTTTAAACAGGTGTTGTTTAGGACAAGCCTGTATGAATTGGAGCCCTCGTAACAATACTATTTTACTTACTCTTACGAGTCACATGGTTAAAAAAATTTAAATGTAGCAATCGAACATCTATAAGCATATGCAAACATGTTTTATGCCATTTCCCAGATGGTGGACTTATTTTTTTTAATCAGACATGGCGGGCCATCTTATTAAGCAATGAGTTGTATCCTCATTGTACAGGTGAAGAAAAAGGATCAGCACAAATAACTTGCCCCAGGTCACACAGTTGTTCATCCATTCGCCACTTATGTGAGGGACTGATGTTGGCCTTGGGGACAAGAGTGGACATGTTGGTGCATGGGACAGACGAGTGCTCAGGTAGAAGAGCAGGAAATGACAGTGAGTCTCTATGAAGGACAGAGGGGGTGTGGTCTCCCCTTGCCAGCCTGGCCTCACAGCTGCCTCCCACCTAGGGCATCTTGCAGGCTGCTCAGGTACCCGGCCCCAGCTGACTCGGCGAGGCTGCAAGGCCCAGATGAATCCTGGAAATGGTGGACTGATTTGAAAGCCATCTGTTCCTCCAAAGCATTAAGAACCAAGAATGGAATGATGCAATGTCATGAAAGAACATACGGAGAAAAGAATATGTGAAGGTTTAAAACAATACGCATCCGTGATCCTAAATGGATAAAATACAGAAAATCTTGTTCTTATTTTTCACAATGAAACATGCCCAGACTCTGTCTTGGAAGAAGTAGAACCACCATGCTCGTTAGAAGCAAGGATGGAGAGACTTTGTCTCACGTGTTTGGACATGTCCTCAGGAGGGGGGCATCCTGGAGAAGGTACAGTGAAGGGGCAGTGAGAAAGACGAAGGCCCTTGAAGAGATGGGTTGAAACAGTGGCTTCCACAATGGGGTCAAACATCCGAACCATCGAGAGGCTGGCCCAGGCTGTGTGATGTTTCGTTCTGTGGCACACAGGGTCACTGTGAGTAGGAACAGACTCGATAGTTCCTAACAACAGGCCAGACCCTCAATTATTTACCCAGACACAGCAGTCTGTCAAAATCCAGGTGACAAGACAAAGCTGATGTGGAGCTAGATGGGTAAATTTTCGACAAGTCTTGACAACATAATTAACAATGCCTGTACCCTTAGTCGAATAACCATTGTGTGTTTCAGTAAACATCAGTGAAAGACAGGAAATTTTGAACCCTTGTGCCTAACTTAGAGGCAAGGGAAGAGAAGCTCTAAAATAAAAAGTAAAAGTTAAAAACAAGCTGGGCACAAGAGGGGAGACTAAATTCAAGGCACAGTACACTGATCATGACCTCTGTCTCCTCTCGGTGTGAGAGATTGCTAGTTTGATCGAGTTCCTCAAAGCCTGTTCTTAAAATAAATGCAGAGCTGATTCCAAGCACAAAGACAGGGTAACCCAGTTCTCCCTTCGGGATCATCCACTTTCTGCTGCTGAGAGTTGTAAGACACATAAACAAGTGTGGGAAAAGGCTACACGACAAATTTTGAACCCACGCTATGTTCCCCGGTTCCTTGTACATCAGTAAATCGGGCTGTTGTTTGGTTGTTGTTGCAACTGTCGTGTGTGTGTTTGATTTTACCTCAAGAGAGAGGCAAAGGCTGGCTCTGACAAGCAAGGCTGGATCTTATTTCTTCGTTTCATGTCCACGGGTGTCATCCTATGAGACAAAAATAGGATCCGTCAGAAGCCGGACTGGGCAGCGTGCCTGAAGGGAAGCAAATGCCCCGAGAAGCAATTCTGCCACAGGCTGGGCTCTGTGTAGCGCTGGCTCTGGCAGCATCTTTTCCAAATCCTGAACACAGGGTAGGTTTTATGGGCATAAAAGAACCTGGGCACGGCCGAGGTGACCCAGAAGCGATCCCAAGAACAGCAAGGAGACTCCTGAGAGAGGGACTACGATTGCTGCATCACAGAGGCACGACCAGGGTCACTTTTCAAAAGTCCCCGCTCACCCTCCCAATGCCCAGCTTTCTAGTTTCTCCATGCCACCAGCCAACAGGGGACTCCACAAATCCCATCATTGCGAGTGATAGCCAACCCTCCTCGATTCTTGGCACAGGTCAAGCCGGGGGTGCCTCCTGAATAGAGGACTTGTCTGCACAATTGAAAAGAGTACTGGGAAACAAGACGGAGGCCAACTGCAAGCATAAATGAAGGGAGGGGCCCTGGGCTCAGCAAGCAGAGAGGAAAGCCGGTCAACACAAGAGCTTGTAAGTGAGCATCCATTGTCGAAAGAATGACTATAAAAAGGATGATATATTAATATATGATATATAATGTAAAGAATTAATTGCTTGATATTCTGGGTTAATGCTGAAGAAAATAAGTGAGATCTTTTGTAGTTAGACACAATTTTCCACCTTTTGTTCTGGTACAGCATCTCTATGAGAACTGACCAGGTTTCTGGCCTGTAGAGCTAGTGAAGTCCTTATTCAGGAAAACATCCCTTGTGAATACCACAAAGGGTGAGGATTCTTTGATTTTTATGAACAAATGATACAGCAATATGAAGCCATCTCATCAGGTTATAAAAGCCTGATTTTCCAGAGGACAAAATGGGGCTTATTACTTTATTTCAAAGGTTATTAAAATAAAGAAAGCAAGTTGTATTGGGAGAATGTGGAAAGAAACAGGGTAGTTGACAGACACACGTGCGCGCACACACAACAGTCCATCTTAAATAGGGGTACAAAGCAGTGTCATGAACACCCACGCATTTATGGGAATTTCCCACAGTACTCTCTGTGGCTGCAGTACTATGTTATCTAGGGGCGACAGACACACTCCTTAAGTCCTGAGGGCAAAAGACAATGTTGAAGGTCAACTGCTTTCATTGCCTTCGGTACCCTTCCCACTGTAGCCAACAAGCAGATTTGTGAGACAGTGACACTCAGCAAGCTTGCGTTCTCTTCTCGTCTTGTCCTCCATGAATAAGTGTGGGACAGAGGCGAGGGCATGGCACCTGTGGACTTGTGGGATCATCCTTCATATTATAGTGTCCAGTGTTCTCTACCCTGATATTGAGGTCCAGCGCCTAGATGTAGTATCTACTCTACCCACCTTGATATTGCCAGGTGCCGTGGAGTCCACTGGATTCACAGCAACCCTATCTCCCTGTCCCATAGGGTTTCCTAAACTATAATCCTCACGTGAGCAGCTTTTGCACATGTGGACCTCCTGAGTGGGTTCAAACCATGGGCCTTTCATTTACCCCAAGGTTGGAGCTGTTAGTGGCCCTTTGCCTATAGTTGCTTTTCAGCCAACAGTAATGTGATTAAATACAGAAACATTAATTTAGCATCTATCTTCTAAGCACAAGCTAGAAAGATAATACAATGTCTGATACACTGGCAAACCACACATACACACACAAAATCTCTTTGCTTAAGACAGGAAGCTGTCATGCGATATACTTTGATATATGTAATTAAGCACTTCCACATGTTCAACATTTAAAAGTCATGAAAACTCCATTCTCTACTTAAAGGCTGACAATAAGCAGAAGGGTGAAAAACTTAAGAGGTTTGCACTGTGGCAAGACTATGTGCCTCTTCACGGTTTTACACATAACAGTCAAATCAATTTTGTTTCAAAAATACATATAACAGATAACCGACATTTTTCAACAAAGGAGATCAAATGTTGTATCTGCATTTTCTAAGTGACCTTTCATCCCAGAATTTTGAATTCCAAAATTCAAGTGTCATGGAGCCAAAATGTTGCTCCCTTAACTGAAGGAAATGAAACATTGTATAATTAATGTTGTCCCCATGATGGTGAACTTCACCAGTTCCCTGGAGAGACGATGAAAGAGGGTGTTGTTTATTACTTGCTAAACTGATCGAAATACAAAATTGGTACATTCTCAGTGCAATTTATAATGGAAAGCCAGGAAATCTTGTAAGGACATTAAGATTTTTTATAGGTCCCTCTAATATATTTTGTGAGCATAGAAGACTAATTTGGGAGTTATGTTTAAATAAGGAAAACAAAACTTACCAATATATATTCGCTCCCCATAACATACAATGCAACACATAATAGAGGAAGACACCACTAAGGAATATGGCCACATGGTACGCTCTCATGGCTGGCCCACCTGAAACACAGGAATGAAATGATGCCCAGATTTAGTTCAAATGAAAAGCAAGGTTAGTGCACAGATGGACTGTACACAGTAAAACCGAAGCATTAGTGCGCAGAGTGGCAACACTGATTGCGTGGTCCTGTGCCATCCTCACAATTGTTCCTATGCATGAGCCCGTTGATGCAGCCACTGTGTCAATCCATCTCACTGAGGGCCTTCCTCTTCTTCTCTGCTTCTCTACCAAGCATGATGTCCAGGGACTGGTCACTCCTGACAATGTTTCAAAAGAAGATAAGATGACAAAGTCTTTCCATCTTGCCTCTAAAGATCCCTCCGGCCGCACTTCTTCCACGACAGACTGGCTTGTCCTCTGAGCAGTCCATGGCACTTTCAATATGCTTTGCCGGCATCACAATTCAACGGCATTGATTCGATTTGCTTCTGACATCCAAAGCTGTTGTCAGAGGGACTCTGAAACTTGTCTTAAGCACAGAGTAGCTAAAGTAGATTTACCATCGAGTAGCTAAAGCGAACGGAAGAAATTATGAAGTCAAAGGGCTGAATAGAAAATTGTTAAGGGCAGTTTGAGAAGACAAAGCCAAATATTACAATGAAATGTGTAAAGACCTGGAATTAGAACACCAAAAGGGAACGTCATGCGAAGCATATCTGAAACTCCAGGGGGAAAAAATAAAACAAAAAAACAGGCCTTGAGTTGCAATCTTGATGGATTCTTTGGGCAAAATATTGAATAACGCACGAGGCTTCAAGAGAAGATGGAAAGAATGTACAGGGTCACTCTGCTAAAAAGAGCTGGTTGTCATTCCACCATTTCAAGAGGTAGCATATGAGCACGAACCAATGTCGCTGAAGGTAGAAGTTCAACCTGCACTGAAAGCACTAGCCAAAAACAAGGCTCTAGGGATTGATAGAAGACCAGCTGAAATGTTTCAGAAAGCTGAAGAAGCACTGGAAGCACTCAATCGTCTATGCTAGGAAATTTGGAAAGCAGCTATTTGGCCAACTGACTGGAAGAGATCCATATTTGAGCCCATTCCAAAGACAGGTGAATCAACAGATGGTTCAAACTATAGAATAATATCACTGATGTCATATGCAAGTAAAATTTTGCATGATCACCCAACAATGGTTGCAGCAATACATTGACAGGGAGCTGCCAGAGGTTCAGACCAGATTCAGAAGAGGAGGTGGGGCAAGGGATATCATCGCTGATGTCAGATGGATCTTGGCTGAAACCAGAGAATACCATAAAGATGCTTACTTGTGTTTTATTGATTACGCAAAAGCATTGGGCCATAACAAACCATGGATAACCTTGAGAATAACAAATCCTAGAATACTTCATTGTGCTCACGTGGAACTTGTACTTGAATCAAGAGGCAGTTGTACAAACAGAACAAGGAATGTGGCATGGTTTAAAATCAGGAAAGGTGTGTGTCAGGATTGAATCCTCTCACCATGTTTGATCAATCTGCACACTGAGCAAATCATCAGAGAAGATGGCTATATGAAGAAGAATATGACACCAGGATTGGAGGAAGGCTGAATAACAACCTGCAATACGCAGATGACACAACCTTGCTTGCTGAATGTGAGGAGGATTTGAAGTACTTGCTGATAAAGAGCAAGGATTTCAGCCTTTAATATGGATTTCAACTCAATGTAAAGAAGACCAGAATCCTCACAACTGGACCAATAGATAACATCATGATTAATGGAGAAAAGGCTGAAGTTGTCAAATATTTTATCTTGCTTATATCCACAATCAATATTCACGCAAGCATTAGTCGAGAGGTCGAAAAATGTGTTGCGTTAGGTAAATCTACTGCACAAGACTTCTAAGAGTATTGAAAAAAGCAAGGATGTTATTTTGAGGACTAAGGTGTGGCTGACCTAAGCCGTGGTATTTTCCATTACCTCATCTGCATGTGAAAGTTGGCCATTGAATACGGAAACCCTAAAGAGAATCAATGCACTTAAATTATTCTGGATATACCTACTAAAAGTGCAGAAGCAGAATGCTTTCCTTATTCCTATTCTCTTATCTTTTCACAGGAGCTCTAGTAGTGTTGTGGAACAAGTGTCACAACACTGTCGTGGACGGCAAGGTGACCCATTCACCCCAACAGTCACACTGAGGGACCCTCCATAGAGAATGCCGTGAGTGGGGGTGGTCCAGATGGCAGTGTGTTGGTTTGGGGTTTGTTTTGCTTATCTTATAAATAATACAACATGATGCATGTTTAGAGCAACAAACAGGTTTATGGTTTCAAAGGTCAGTGACTAGTGCCTCACATTAAGAAAAAAAATCCAAACTCCCTGCCATCGAATGAATGCTGACTCATAGGGACCACTTGTGGGTTTCCAAGATGGGAACTGTTTACAGGAGTAGAAAGCCCCGTCTTTCTCCCATGGAGCTGCGGGTAGTTTAGAACTGCCGACCATGCGGATTGTACCCAACGAACAGCCACTACCCCAACAGAGCTCCTCTACATTAGGGAAGAAAGGGGGGCAAATGTTTAGACATATAGTCCATATACAAAATTTTAAAAGGGGGGTAGTATTAAAGAATATCTATTTTTTTCTTTCTCAATAAAAAGTGAATATATGCTATAAGATGTGAACAAACATTTTTTTTCAGTCCTTGGAATATTTTCATACTATAATTCATAATCAAATTTTCAATTTTCAACTTTTATATACTATTGAATGTACCTATTTATCAACATCAAACCACACCAAAACCAAACCCACTGCCATTGATGTAGATTCTGACTAATGGAGACCGTATATGATTTGGGATGCTGTAAGTCTTTACAGGAGCAAAACAGCCTGGACAACCTCCTGTTTCTCCCTCAATGCAGCTAGTGGACTTGAACTGCTGACCTTGCAGTACAATGATTACTTGACAGCAGCACCAGAGCTCCTTTCTCAATACAAAGCACAGATAAATTCAGCTAATTATTTACATGCTTTTTGCTACATTTACAGTACAGCTCATGGCACATTTGCATATAGACAAAACCTAAGCATAGTCTTCCCCAAAAATGCAAAATCAGCCAAATGCAAAAATCAAACAAAACTTCTCTAGTTTCCACTTTTGCTTCAACGGCAATAATGAAATTAAAGGGGCAAAAGGCACATTTAGTAATCGTGTAGGATTCTAGTCTTCTCTTTCACAGCATGTAACTTTAAAGAGGTATGCTGGTGCTTTGCTTCTCTTAGCAAGTTTGTGCTTCATTCCCACGATTAAATGTGCCATGCCTCTCCTATCCATATCTACTAGCCCCAGTGAGAGGGACTGAGCACTCAGGAGTCTGCTTGGAGATGTTCTCAGTAGTCTAATGAACTTGCTGTTAGCCACCTACCACCACCGGGCTCCTGGCCACCCCATGCACAACAGAACAAAATGCTGCCTGTCCAGTCCTGTGCTGGTGATCCATATGGACTCCCTCACTCTTGAGGCCTTTCTTCCTAGTCTGTCTTAGTCTGGAGACTCTGCGAGCCCTGTGTAGCATCAGAGCAGCCCACAACCCCCCTGACAAATGAGTGGTGCAGGGACCTGGGGTGCATGGGCTGCGAAATCAAACCCAGTCCTCCTGCCTGAAAGGCAAACGCCCCACCACTAAATTCCCAATGAGTTTGCCATTACCAACCTTTGGATGGTAAAGCAAGTTCTAAGGGACGCAGGGTCATTTTTTTTAACGGCATTATTGCACCGGGCTCTATTAGAGTGAGGCCCTCAAGAGCTAGTTGGGGTGGGGGGTGGGGATGGGGGGGATGGGAGGGAGGTTGTTCATGAAATGATTCTAATCTCTAGTGACTTCCCTGGTGAATTAGTTGGGTTCTACTCCCCTGCTAAAGAGCTCTGCTAATGCAGCAATTAAAGGATCAGCTACTAACCAAAATGGTGGTGGTTTGGGCAGTCTGCACCTGTAACCGCAACAGACATACGGACGGGGAAGTGGTCCCTTCTGTCCTACAGGGTTGCTATGCATCAGAACCAACTCGGCGGTACCGACGACCACCACCACGGACATAAACGGGAATCAACTGATGAGCAACAGGGTTTGGGACGCCCTTGCTTCCAGCTATGGCTTCTCACTGTCATGAGCAATCTCCACTCCCACATGCCACCATTATTAAAAATTAGCTAGCAATAAAAGCTCTGCAATTAGAAAGAAAAGTTAGCACACATTAGTATGCATGCACTGCCAATGTAGTACATACGATCCGTGTGAAGAGCCAATGGTGGCTAGAAACAGATGGGAGGCTCCATAGTCCAACGCCACAGAAACCTGCCTTGAGGGACTTAGGTAAATCAGTTAACCTCCTTTGTCCCAAGTCTCCTCTCAAGTTTAAAAGGGAGAAAGCACTGCCTGCTTAGTTGGGGGTTCGAAGAATTACCTGAGGGAATCTAGCACAGCTCTTACACAAAATATGAGCTACAGATGTGCATGTTTTGTTTTTTTAAACTTAAATCGGGTTGCTCTTTTTCTACACAGTGAAATGCTTGGGAGTCGAGGAAGCCCAAGTTCGTCTTGGCTGGCTTTTAGTGCAGTGCTACAGGCGGTGCCACATTGTCAGGTCCACAGCAAGAGGTCACTGGGGGGCTTTGGCAGAAGTTCCGCATCCCCTGAACAAAGAAGCAGGTAAATCACACAAAACCCAAATACCCACCGCTATCTAGTCGATTCCAACCAATAGTGACCATTCGTACAACTGTGCTACCAGTCCCCGAATATCTAAATCTTTACAGAAGCAGACAGCCTCAGCCTTCTCCTGCAGCACCGCTGGTGGCTTTGATCAGCAGTCCTTTTGGAAACCAACCCAATCCTTAACCCAAACATAAAACTCTGCTGCCTCAGCCCATGCCTCCCTTCCCCCGTCTTTCTCACCCACCTATCTGTCATGGGTGCTATCCTGATATCCTTAAATTCTTCCTGGTACAAGGAAGGAAACGGTACAATCTTTACTGGATTAAACAATAA